TCGCCTGCGTGTGTCTCTTCGTCCAGGGGCACTCCTGACTGCTGCCGGTACTCGGGGCTCCCTGGTAGGAGGGTTCAGTTCCGGTAGGAAGGTTCAGTTCCAGGCAGACAGAAGGTGACCCCTTCCCGCCAGTCCCCCATCCTTGGCACCCTGGTCCCCTTCAGGGGGCGACCCCGCGGCACTCACCGCTCTCGCTCTCAGTAACATCCGGCCGGGCGCCATCCTTGAGCACATAGCCCGGACCGTTGCCATATAGGAGGGCCGTGTAGGCCTTCCTGTCCTGGGCCTTGCCGGGTGCCAGCCCTGCAGAGAGAGGGGTCCCTGTGGTTGAGCTGCACACAGCTGTGGAGTGCCTCCCACGTGCTAGGAACCGCCACTTTTTGCCTGGTCAGGGGCTTAGTCCTCAGGAGACCCTACAGGGCTGGTGCCAGCATTACTCCCATTTGACAGAGGAGGAGCCTGAGGCTCAGATTTCACCCACGTAATTGATGCAGCAGCACCTGCCACTCTCCCCAGGCCTACCGAAGATAGAGCTCCCTCGCAGGGGGTAGCCACCAAAGGAGAAGACGTGGGAGTGGTCAGCGGTGACGAGGGTCAGCGTGTCCTCCTCGCTGGTGAGCTGGCCCGCCCTCTCAATGGCGTCGTCGAACATGACCGCTTCAGTCAGTGCCCGGTAGGCCCTGCTTTCGTGATGACCATGGTCGATGCGACCGCCTGCAGGAAGGCCAGCGAGGGTGGTGCTGAATCTGCCCTGCTCCAAACCCCAACCCCCACTCCCCAGGGGCCACCACGCACCCTCCACGAAGAGGAAGAAGCCGCGGGGGTTCCTGCTTAGCAGGCGCAGGGCAGCCTCTGTCATCTCCATCAGGGAGGGGTCCAGTGTGGGGTCTCGGTGGATCTCGTATTTCATGTCTCCGGGCTCAAAGAGACCTGTGGGACAAGGGGTCCCATGGTGACTGGCAGGCTGGGGGTGGGAGGGTGCTGGCAGACGTGTACACAGGTTCAGAAGGTGCCATCTGAGGCTGTCTGAGGGATGCCAGGGCAGGAAGGGGGTCATTACCCATGAGGTGGGTCACGGATGGGTCCAGGGAAGCCTGCATGAGCTCAGTGCGGTTCCACACGTACCGGGCACCCTGCAGGGAGGGAGAAAGCCAGGCCTCAGCCCACAGCCCTGAGCCCCACACCTCTGCCCTCCCCCTGCTGTGCCTCCTGCACCCGCCAGCCCCCATCACCTGGTGCTTCGCCAGCCATTCGTGCACCAGGTTCTTCCCATCCATCCTGGTCCCATCCTGGCTGTAGTCATGAGGGTACTCAGGGTCTGGGGCCCCCATGCGAAACATGTACTTTCGGCCTCCACCTAGGATCACCTGGGAACAGAGGATAGGGCACGTGGGTTTGGGGCCTGGCTGCCCCTGTGCCACTTCCTCCTGCACAGCTCCTGGCTCCCTTCCCCAAGGTTGTGGGAGTGGCCCGGCCTGGGCTGCACCTTCTATGCCCCCAACCCCACCTCCAGACCCTGCTGGCTCAGATCAGGTTGTTGGTTGCCTGGGTCTGAGCTGGTGCCCCCTGCTACTCTCTGCCCAGCCCCAACCCTTGGCCTTGGGGTCGCACGTCAATGTCCATGTTGGAGATGAGCTGTGTGGCGATGTCCTTGCAGCCCTCCCGGCGGGCCGAGCCAGGCATGTTGGCATCCGAGTACCAGTTGCGGTTCACCGTGTGGGCGTAGGTTCCGGCTGGTGAGGCATGCTGCACCCGTGTGGTGGTCACTACTCCCACTGACTTCCCTAAGGGTGACAGAGGTCAGGATATGTGACCAAGGTCTGTGACCTGGCCCTGATCCCGCAGTGGGCCCCAGCTCACCTGCTTTCTTGGCCCGATTCATCACGGAGACCACCTCATTGCCACGTGTCGTGTTGCACTGGTTATAGCGGGCAGCTGCACTCAAGCCAATGGTCTGGAAGTTGCCCTTGACTCCGCACAGGTAGGCCGTGGCTGTGGCTGCACTGTCTGGCACATGCTTGTCTACACTGTATGTCTGAGGACAGAGACACTCTGAGCTCTTCTCTGGGGCAGACACACAGACCCTGATCTCTGTCCTCTGGGATTCCAACTGCCTCCAGCTCCTTAATGGAGGCCCAGCTGTTTAGGGTCCCTCCGTCCTACGACACTCCATAGCCAGGATACCCTTCTCTGCTTGGAAGACTCTAAGGTGGCCCAGCCCTTACCTTGGACAGAGCCACATATGGGAAGTGGTCCATGGCCAGGGGGGTCTCAGGCCCCAGTTTGTCCTCCTTCTGCCCCTTTAGGATCCTGGCGGCTGTCACCGTAGACACCCCCATCCCTGAAGGAACAGAAATGTGTGAGGCTTGGGCCCCAGGGCTGTCCTGGAACCACCGAGGGTCCGGGCGCCGGGGCTGTGAGGGCTGCGGGGATGGACAGGCCTTGCTCACTCACCGTCGCCCAGGAAGATGATGAGGTTCTTGGCAGCTGTCTGTATGGGCTGCAGCTTCTTGGCAGCACCCAGGGCCTCGGCTGCCTGGCGGTTCCAGAAGTCTGGGTTCTCCTCCTCAACTGGCCAGGGGGAGAGCAAAGATCAGGTCAGCCTGGGCTGAGGGGTACCCTGTGTGTGTGTGTAGGAGCAGCTAGGGGAGCCTCATTACCTGGGATGATGCCCAGGGAGAGCTGTAGACTCAGGCCCAGCAGCAGCAGAAGCACCCAGGGCCCCCGCATGTCTGGAGGGCAGCAGGAGAGTGGGGTGGCAGGAATTCCGGGTGTGGAGCATGAGCTGCACTCCAGGCTGCCTGGGTTTAAATCAGGGAGCACTGTGTCCCGGCTTCTCCCCTTGTTGCCACCTTGACCCCGCCCAGCCTCTTGACATGAAGCCACACTGGCTGAAGGGAGTGGCAGGGTGCGGCTGGGCTGGGCCAGGCTGGGGTTGGGGTCCTGAGAAAGGCAGCTCAGGGTGGGACCAGGTGTCGCTCAGGGAAGGGTGGGGTTTTGGGTACAGATGCCATCTGGGTGAGTGTTGTGTGCAACCTGCGGCCAGGAGCCCCTCCCCCAACCCCTGCTCACTGTGTCTTGTGTGGAACAAGACGCCCTGTCACTCATTCATTCACTCATTTGTTTCTATGTTTCCCAGAAGCTGGGGCCAGGCTCTGTTCTGGTGTCCAGAGGAGGGGAGGCTGGAAGCACACAGCCTGGGCCAGGGCCTGGGTTCAGCCTACTGATGCCAGGAGCCTGGGCCCGGTGGGAAAGGGGCACGTGGGAGGCTTTGCTGCCCTGGCACCCCCTTTTCCATCATCTGGCCTTGGCCTGGACAGGTGGGGCTGGCAGGAATCCGGGCCCAGAGCTCTAGGGCTGTGGGCAGCTGTGGGTCCAATGGTGACAACACTGACAACACTGAGCCCGTCCTGCCCGTTGCTCACATTCTGTGTGTGATTGTGTAGGTGTTTGTGTAGATGCACTCGCACTAATGTTTGGATGACGCAGGTTGGGGAGAGTCCACCCCAGTCCAACCACAGCAGCCCCTTCCGCACTCAGGCCTGCTCGCCCTGAGCCCCAGGCTTGGCCCCCAGAACCCAGGGGACCTTACCTGCTGCCCAGCCTCTGCCTTCCCTGCCCTACTCCACACCACCCCGACAGACTTTCCCTCACGCCAAGCTTTCCCGGGTCCTCCTGCCTGCACCCCGCCTGGCTTCCCGCTGGTCGTCCTGGGGCTCTCAGGGAAGACGTCGCCCTCATGGGGCCTTCCTGCCTCCTGCTTGTTGCCCCCTTAGTTCCCTCTACGTCCTGCTTCATCTTGCTGAGTTACGACATTTCTGGGCTAAATTTCAGAGGAGACTCACTAACAGGCAGGTCCTTAATTAATTCATTGATTCACTCCAAGCTCAAGGCCAGTCAGAAGCTTTTGCAGCCATCCCCACGATTATTTTTCAAGGAGGATTGTTTTGGTTTTGGAGACAGGGCCCCGTTCTGTTAGCCAGGTTGGAGTGCGATGGCTGGGTTGCTGCTCCCTGCAGCTTGTGATGTCCCAGGCTCAAGTTATCTTCCCACCTCTGCCTCTCATGTCACTGGGACCAATGGCATGTGCCACCACACCTGACTCATTTTTTATTTTGTGTAAAGACATGGTTTTGTTATGTTGCCCAGGCTGGTCTCGAGCCCCTTGAGCCCAAGGGATCCTCACATCTCAGCCTCCCAAAGTGTCTGGATTACAGACATGAGCCACTGCACTCTCCTTCTTCTTCTTCTTTTTTTTTTTTTTTTTTTGAGACATGGTCTCATTCTGTCACCAGGCTGGACTGCAGTGGCGTGATCATGGCTCACTGCCGAAGCCTTAGCTTCAGCCTCCCCAGTAGCTGGGCTTATTGGCACCAGCCACCATGCCTAGCTAAATTTTTTTTGTAGAGTCTCACTATGTTGCACAGGCTGCTCTCAAACTCCTGGCTTCAAGTGATCCTCCCGCCTCAGCCTCTCAGACCACTGGGATCACAAGTGTGAGCCACTGGGCCCAGCTGGGTGTTGTCGTTTGGTAACAACATTCATTCCCAGCCCCTGCCATCCTGTCCCCTGAGTGGCAAGGGCTGTCACCATATTTCCCAGTGAGATGCCCTGGTAAGATCTGGAGGGCAGGAGGCAGGCAGAAGCCATTCATCCGTGGTTGGCGGTAGCTGGTGAGGGGACGAATTCAGCCCTGTCCGGCCACTTTGGGAGGCTGAGGCAGGTGGATCACCTGAGGTTGGGAGTTCAAGACCAGCCTGACCAACATGGATAAATCCCATCTCTACTAAAAACTACAAAATTAGCCAGGCGTGGTGGCACATACCTGTAAGGTGGGCACTGAGCTGGAACATGGTCTGGACTGCACAGAGCTTGGTATCCCCAAGGGCACCAGGTGGTAGAGGGTGCTAAGGGATCCAGATGGGGCCCTACAGGACCAGCCCTTCCTTCCCAGAGAGCAGAAGGACCAAGACGACCGATCCTCAGAGAATACACGCCACAGCCTGGGCCTCCCCTTGCCCCAGGTAACAGCAACCAAGAATCCCAGGAATGGAGGCTTTATATCTTCCTCCAGCCCGGGAAGACCTGCTGCTTCTGCTTTGAAATCCCTGGGTCTCAGAGGAAGGGCTGTAACCAGACATTATGACAGGCGACTCTGGCATGAAGGTAGGAGGCAGGGTGGCCAAGCATTCCCATGTGGCCAGGGTGTCATCATAGACTTTGAATGTGGACGAGTATCCTTTGTTTTCTGCGAGTGACATTGGCGTGTGTCTGGTCTCCAATCTTGCTCAGGCGCCTGACAAAATTCACCACATAGTGAGCGACATAGCGAGACCCTGTTTCTATTTAATTTAATTAATTTATTTATTTATTTATGTTTTTTTGAGATGGAGTCCCATTCTGTCCCACAGGCTGGAGTGCAGTGATGCCATCTCAGCTCACTGCAACCTCCACCTCCCAGGTTCAAGCGATTCTCCTGCCTCAGCCTCTTGAGTAGTTGGGATTACAGGCGCCTGCTACCATGCCTAGCTAATTTTTGTATTTTTATGTTTTTTGTTTTTGTTTATTTACTTGTTTTGGAGATGGAGTCTCGCTCTGTCACCCAGGTTGGAATGTAATGGTGAGATCTCTGCTCACTGCAACCTCTGCCTCCCAGGTTCAAGGGATTCTCCTGCCTCAGCCTCCCGAGTAGCTGGGATTACAGGCACCCGCTACCAAACCTGACTCATTTTGCATTTTTAGTGGAGATGGGGTTTCACCATGTTGACCAAGCTGGTCTCGAACTCCTGACCTCAGGCATTCTACCTGCCTTGGCCTTCCAAATTGTTGGGATTACAGGCGTAAGCCACTGTGCCAGGCTAATTTTTGTATTTTTAGTAGAGACGAGGTTTCACCATGTTGGCCAGGCTGGTCTCGAACTCCTGACCTCAAGTGATCTGCCCACCTCAGCTTCCCAAAGTGCTGGGATTATAGGTGTGAGTCACTGCACCTGGCCAAAAACTATTAAAAGAAAAGGAGTGTCAAAAAATTTAGGCCGCGCTGGGGGTGGAGGCTCACACCTGTAATCACAGCACTTTGGGAGGTGAGGCATAAGCCCGGGACCTCCAGACCAGCCTGGGCAACATGGTGAAACCCCATCTCTACCAAAAATGCAAAAATTAAATGGGCAAGGTGGCACACACCTGTAGTCCCTGCTACTCGGGAGGCTGAGGTGGGAGAATTGCTTGGGCGCAGGAGGTTAAGGCTGCAGGCAGTGAGCCGTGATTCCCCCACTGCACTCCATCCTGGGCTACAGAGCAAGACTCTGTCTCAAAAACAAAACAAAACAAAACACACACACACACACACACACACACACACACACACACACACACAACACAAAGTCAATGGGTCTCTTTGGTGAGGAAGGAATAGGGGGGTCTGAATAGGGGGGCGGGGTACATATGGGGAGATCCTGGCCGTAGTCAGTTTCTTGATCTGAGTGGTATTGCTTTGGTGTTCAATTCTGTAACTCTTCTTCAGGCAGTATCTTTCTGTTGTATGCAGTTTTAATGTTTGGCATATCTCAGAAGGCAAGAAGGAAAGGAAGGAACAAGTTGGTCATTTGATCCAGATTAGATGCAACTGTTCCCGCTGCATTTTCCATTTTCATCTCAGACAGTATTTTTCAAAATGTGACATGCGCATGTTTCCAAAGGGTGGTACTGAAACAGGATAGGTAATCAAGGAAGTGACCATGTTCTTGGGATGCAGCAAGCGTGGTGACCACACAGTCAACACAATAAGCCTCAGCATTCGAATTGTAATTCGGCTCATTCAAGCAAAGCTATCTTCAGTGGGGATTTTTCTTTCTAGAGAACATGCGCGTTTTGATTTTACCTATCCTCAAACTGACCCTTTGCTCATAATAGTAAAAAGCACACCTGGGTGGAGATTTAAGAAGTTAATGAGACATGCGACGCATGAACGAGCATGTACAGCTACTCACATGTGCACTCAGAGGACCACCCAGAACATGCTTACTAGCAGCACCTCTTCCCACCCCCTCAGGAATAATCATGTAAAATTTCCATAAAGGGAGTCTCCCTAGTGCCAACCTTTGCTGTCTTGTCTTTATGAGTAGCCCACCCTGAATTCTTCTCTCTGCCTATTCTGCACTTCACTTTCAAGATATTCTTTTTCTTTTGCAATAAATTATTGCATGCCGCATCTCCTTTGCTATTGCATCTCTTGTTTAAATTATTTTAAGCTAAGAAGACAAGAACTGAAGTCTCACATCAGCTGTCAACAGCACTCCAGATTATTTTAGGTAGTGTGGGTGTCAAAGCAATTCCATCTTGGGGGCTAATTCACCACGTTGATGAATGCCAGTTCTCGGAGGGCCTCTGAGATTTCCCGTTCATGTCGAGTTTCTTTTGCAGGAGCACCTACTTCCTGTAAATCCTGCCCTTAGGACAAAACAACTTTGATGTTATCATATTTCAATTGTCCTACACGTCCCTTTGAGGTCGCCCCTCCCCTGTGGCCCTCGGTCTTGGGGGGTAAAGCTACCATCTTGCCTCACCGCCACCTGAGACTCAGACATAGCTTCTGTTCGTAAGTCTCTATTAAATGTTTTTTTCTAAGAAACTGGATATGTCAGCAATTCTCCTGCCTCGGCCTCCTGCAGTGGCTCACGCCTTTATAGGAGTCTGAGGTGGGTTGATTGCTGGAACCCAGGACTTTGAGACCAGTCTGGGCAACATGGCAAGACCCTGTCTCTACCAAAAAATGTAAAAATCAGCTGGGCATGGTGGCATATGCCCGTAGTCCCAGCTACTTGGGAGGCTGAGGTGGGAGGATTGCTTGAACCCAGGAGGTCGAGGCTGCAGTGAGCTGAGACTGTGTCAGTCTACTGCAGCCTGGGCAGCTGCCAAAACAAAACAAAACAACAAAAAAACCCAGAGACCCCTGAAAAGCAGTCTCTGGCACCTGGAAACTTGCTGCCTTGTCATTTCA